GTGAGTAGCCTTTATAGATTATCATCCACATTTTCAGAGATGCTCACATCTACTATTGCCTATTACCGAATAGACTATCAGAAAAGCTTATATATTGCTACCACTGAGACCGTGTGTCTTATTAAAGTCGTTTCAGTTTGTTTATCATATTCAACAATAAACAATAGTAATTAGTTCTTAGGTAACAACATGTTACGCAAGGCACATCGGTCTAAAGACAATATTAAAATGTTACAAATATTACGGGATTTGTTATGATAATTTACTCAGTTAGGTTGACACGTTATAAGACACTCTGGTCAGTGGAATAGGGTGCACATTCATGTGCATAAGAATATTGATCATCTTACAAAAGCATGAATGTTTATTGTAAACATTGAGGGGGATGCGTTGAGAAAATCAAGTTCTCGTCGATAATTGGTGCAGTTTAAGTCCATAACTGTCTATATCAAGGCGTATTGTAGCAATTGTGTAACTGGTCACTTAAAACGTCAACTTTGACGGTATGATTACTGAGACTAATTTTTTTATTAGGTCAGTTTTTCCATAGTTTCGATAAGTTCAGAAATACAGACTGAAAGCACTGTAGTGAAGTGATAAGGGACCGTATAAATAGTGAAAATCCTAAAGAGATGAAAGTTTAACATCAAACCGATCACCAAGATGCAGTAATGAGTACATTGCGCTTGATTACATAAACGATTTCTTTCATGTCAATTATTATCATAAGCACCTTTGTAAAGCCATTATTAGACTCTTTTATTTTGTAATTGCCCAGTTAAGCTTGCTATCGGATTTATCGATGTGAAATAATCCAATTCAAGATGACGAACATAAGTCAGAGAGGTATTTGCAACAGGAAAATAACTTCAATACAACTCATCGGTTATATCTAACTAGACATTAAGAATCTCCACAAGCAGCTCTTTCAGAGTTACTGCCGATCCCGAGCCCGCGTAAAGGAGGAGGGTTGGACATGGGGTCAGCAACCCATCCCGTAGAAGACTAACTTTCTAAAAAACGCTTACCAGAAAAAATAATTCAAACCATTTTAACTCTGCCCTGGGAGTTGGAAGGTCTTCATTTAGAAGAATTATGACGCTTCATGGTGAAAGCCGAGTTCCTTCGGAAGCCACGAGGCCGATGCCCCTTCTAACAACCAGAGCAAACATTTTTATAGGTACATGGAACGTACGAACAATGTGGAAGACCGGGAAGACCAGTCAAATAGCAACGGAAATGAGGAGATACAAATTAGCAGTTCTCGGAATAAGCGAAACTCATCGAACCCAGGCTGGACAGCAAAGGCTAGATACTCCGGTTACGAAGAGGTAAATGCTCCACACACTCAGGGAGTTGCTCTGATGCTGTCCAAAGAAGCAAAGAATGCACTGGTAGGATCGGAATCTCACGGACCCAGGATCATCAAGGAATCAGTCAAAAAAGAGGGGATCACAATGAATGTTATCTAGTGTTACGCGCAAACCAATGATGGCAATGACGACATTAAAGATCAGCTCTACGATAGGCTGCGATCAATCATAGAGATGTGCCCAAGGAAGGACAACAATTTGGTCATAGGCGGCACAATATTTCCACACAATTGTATACACAAAGCTACTTGTGTCTCACAGGGTCACACAACGGAGAACCGGATAGATCATATTTGCATCAATAAAAAATTCCGAATGACAGTGGAAGGTGTGAGAACCAGGAGAGGAGCTGACATAGCTTCAGATCACAATTGATTGATCACTGTGTAGTGATCGATGTCATGTGTGTCAACTTTTTCTCAGTGCGCATCGAATGCTATCGACCAAGCTGCAATGTGGCCACTAGTCTAGGGGACTCGACATTACGTGCTCTATATTGAGATAGGTTGGTGGTTGGAGGTAGTCAACAGGAAACCCCGGATCGGAGTTTCGTGCTACTTGGCACTCGTCAGCAAGGTGTATCTGTAATCTTGAGGGAATCAGTGTTCCTTGACGGATTCGGTCACGATCACGAACTATTTATGGCTTATTTAAAACTACAGCTAACGAAACACTTGACAACTGGACAAACAGCACCACAAAGGTTCAATACAGCCTTCCTTCGAGACACTAACAAAATCAACGAATTCAAGATAGCTCTCAACAACAGGTTCCAAGCCTTACAGGACCTACTGAAGGAAGAAGAAACCACTATGGAGGACAACTGGAAAGGTATCAAAGAAGCATTAACTTCAAAGTGTCAAGAGGTTCTGGGCCTCAAGAAGTATCATCATAAGGAATGGATCTCTATAGAAACACTGGACAGGATCAAAGAAAGGAAGAACAAGAAGACAGCAATTAACAACAGCCGAACACGAACAGAGAAAGTCCAAGTACAAGCTGAGTATATAGAGGCAAACAAGCAAGTGGAGATGAGCATTGTAGCCGACAAGCAGAAATACATGGAAGAACTAGCAACGACAGTGGAAAATGCTGCAAGGGAAGGAAATATGAAACAGCTTTATGATACAACGAAGAAATTAGCAGAGAAATATAACAAACCAGGAACTCGTCACTATAAATCAACTTCATTGATTATGAAATGGAGTTTGACGGTGTAGATGAGAGAACATTAAGGAAACTTGTTCGACACTATGGAGTTCCTGAGAAGATTGTCAATATTATCCGGAACTCATACGACGGACTACAATGCGAAGTCGTGCATGGAGGACAGCTGACAGATGCATTCCAAGTAAAGACCGGAGTCAGACAAGGCTGTTTACTCTCTACCTTCCTCTTCCTTCTGGTGGTCGACCAATATCAAAATCACAATTTTCAATACGAACGTCACGATGATTTTACCGTACGGAACTGAAACTTGGAGAACCACAACAGCCATCATCAAAAATGCACAACTATTTATGAACAATTGTCTACAAGAGATACTGAACATCCATTCGTCGGATATCATCAGAAACGGCCTACTGTGTAAGAGAACAAACCAGCCTCCAGTTGAAGAGAAAATTAGGAAAAAACAATAGAAATGGATAAGACGTACATTGTGGAAATTATCAAACTGCATCACGAGGCAAGCCCTAACTTGGAATCCCGGAGCGAAATAGAAATGAGGGAAACTTAAGAACACATTATGTCGTGAAGTAGAAGCAGATACGAAGAAGATGGATAACGACTGGAAAGACCTGGAAAGGATTGCACAGGATAGGGTTGGATAAAGTGTTCTGGTGAGTGGCCTACGCTTCTCTACGAGAAATGGCAGGCGTAAGGAAGTCAGACAATAAGGAGCCGTAAGTGAACAAACATTTCTGTCCTGCCGGCATAGACGACATACCATATATCTGACCAAAAACGCCGACGAAATTATAGCGCGGAAGAGCGATTTCGCTTGGGTCCATAGTTACATAGTAACACACATTGTGGCTTATTGATATTGTGTCCAGTTGCACAGTGATTGCCTGGATAAAGATGTATAGTGCATTAAATTACGGGCTTCAATAATCTCCGACAAATCATGTCAACAGCCCGATGACTTGTAGTTTATCCATCCATCTTGACGATTAGATTTATACTGCATGTGGTAGTATTGTATTCTCTAAATAATGCGTAAAGAGGTGAATAGCGTACGTCCATTAACAACATTGCTATTTGTTCAGCCAAACTCAAATTCCGTTTATTTGGGTATTTCATGGTCCCAGTGTCTGGACTGGAAGGTCATTTACTAGCGGCAAAAATAGAAATAGATAATGTATCGACTATCTGCTATGTTATATCATTTTCGTAATGGGTGATTGATGAATGTGGCAATCATTTAAAGCGGATATAGGTTGATTTTGTGAATGTGTTTTGATGCATGTGTTTGCTTGCCTGAGAAACTCTCTTTATATGTACGTTCCTTGCATAAATTATCCTGGTTCCTTGAAGTTGTTCTTAATGTAAGATATAGTTTTTATTCCGACCCTCAGTTACAAACGATGGTGTTTCCGGTCCTCAATTAGAATTTTATTGTTCATTTTAACTGCAGTTTCAGTATTTCTAACGTTTCATTCAATTGTATAGTTTTGCTGACCAACTTATTTCAACTGTATCTACAATTTCGGCGGTCGGCATCTTCATTTTTCTTACTTTCGTCGTTATTTTTTCAAAAGACCGTATAGTTGCGCTCAGCGAGATAGAACAGTGTCCTCTGATTAACGCCTCTATTTTTCTACAGATGGTCGTAATTTTGTGCTTTTTATCAACTTGCGTTTTTGATGTACGGCAGATTGAATATTTGAATCTCATTGAAAAACATTTTGGGCTGCATAGTGGGGCATTTTGCTTGTCTAAGGGTCTTTATGATTGGTTACCAGACAACACTTAAATGATATAGAGGTTATTCTCCCACGGTTTCTGCTTCTGGAACTCGTTTTTTGTACCTCATGTTGAATTTCTTAACCCGTCCAAATTGTTTTTTGCATGTAATTTCAGACGCTCAGGTGCAGACTCAAAGGTTGGGATGCGATGACGTCAGTAAAAAGAGCAATTAACAAGGCAGCCGATACGATAGATCTATGTGGCAGTTTAAACTCTTCACGTTCTTTGTAATGCTTTGAGATTAATATACATTTATCCTAGTTTGCACTTTCGTTTTTCCTCCATCATTTGAGGCCTGTCTTCCTGTTGCAATTCGTTACATACTGCATTTAATTCTTATGCTTTATCTGGAGTTTCTTCATCGGTAGTTTACCGTCAGAGCTAATAATCGGTTAGCGTTCTGGCTGCTAATTAGCATGCATTGGGCTCTTCTATTGTGGATCTACGTTTCAACAGCTATTCGTTGTTGTTAGCACTGCCACTCCTCTTCTTCATGTCATCAAGAAAATCTTGTGGTTGAATCACTTGTCAAATAATTGGTAATAAAAAATGCAGGGATTAAAGCAGGTTTGAAATTCATTTCGTCAGCATTTAATATATTGAGAAATGTGAGTTGTATTTGTTCGAATTTGTACATATCGTTCAAGGTCACGAGACATTTATAAAAGTCAACACAAATAATCGCACACTAGTTTCCGGAATATCCTAATGTCATCCAACCAAGGGAATAAGATAGATCGGTACGAAATCTTCCGCATTCGTCAAGGCATGAGGCCCAGAAGTAATGACGAGGCATATTTTGATTGCAGTGGCAGTCCGATGATCGTGAGTACTAACTTTTTTGAAAAAATGATTTACAAAGTACGAATAGTAAACAGTAACTCGCTTTGATTTTCAATCTTTGTATATCAACTGAAATAAACTGGAGCGTTTTTTTGGATAACTGGTCTTCTGGAAATATCATTAATAACAAACTGACTTACCCAAGCAACACAAAAGGGAAATAAAGGGTAAATAAGGGGAAATAAAGCGTACGAAGGGGGAAATAAAGAGGAAATGTCGCTTTTTCGCCTTTACGTCAGTTATTTAGGGGAAATGTCGCTTTTTCCCCCTTACGTCGTGTATTTGGCGGAAATTTGTCGACAATTCTATGTAACGTACAGTATTTGAATGAACCGCTTCTGGAGCTTAATTTTTCATAAACTTCCACGAATTAAGGCACCGCTTAATAAAAAACAAAACTATTGTCATAAAAACAAGGTACAAAATACGGAACCAGGCATTCGGTTGATACGCATATAGACTGACTTCGTTTGTTGTTTAGCTAAAGTGTTCCGACATGCTTGGGAGCCATCACAAAAAACTTACGTGATGCAGGTGAGTAACGTGCTCTCAGATTTTCATGTTTATTGTAACTAATTACATTGTTAGGCCAATACTAAGAGTTCTGTTGAAGTCAGTGAGAATGTTCGTAGACGTAGGGCCACTGTGAACTTGTCACGTTCCCTTGGCTGTCATAGATCCACTTATAACAGAAGGTGGAATAAAATGAAAGCTGCTTTCATGAAAAAATATGACTTTTCTTCGTTCAGTGAGTTTGCTAATGAAAGCACCCTAAAAGGTAACTGCGTTCAACAATGTTGTTTATTAAATTGATAGAAGTAAAGAGAGAAATCACTTGTAATGACAGTACTTCAACTATTACACCATCGACTAGCAACATCAATCAAGGACTTTCAGATAATAGTGGTATGTATACTAAATTCATACGTCAATATATATCTTATAGGATCTCCTGAAGTGAACCTGTGCTCTCCAAAGTTCGTGAATCGCAAAGAAATGATGAAAGACTTGATGATGTATCTAATGTCAAATACATCTCTGAGCATAAGGGATGCTGATCGGGTTATGTATGGTCTACGATTTTTTATCCCTGACATACCGAAAAGCATCAGAGGTGTTCTGAAGACATGTCCAAGTGTTCAACCAAAGTTTATCGGCAGTGGGGTTTACTACCATCTAGGATTGAAAACCAATCTGTTAAGATACGTTGGACTTTGGTTGTGTACTAGTGATTTTGACTTTTTAAAATTATATATCAGTGTGGATGGACTTTCTATGTCTAGAAGCTCCAATCAACAGTTATGGCCTATACTAGGACGGATCGTTGCCCCTAGGTTTAGTGACGTGTTCATGATAGGGATCTACGGAGGGAATAATAAGCCCACAGAATTCAACGAGTTTTCTGCGGACACAATTTCTGAAATAAAAGAAATGACTGACGTGGGTCTTTTTAGTGTAAAGTTTAATAAATGTATAGCTATTCGGTTGGCGGCTGTTATATGTGACGCACCTGCTCGTTCTTCTGTTAGGTACACGGTAAATCACAACGGTAAGGCAGGTTGTGATAGGTGTACTGTTCTTGGGAGACGGCTGGAGGGTAAGACGACCTTTCCAAATGGAGTAAAATACCTTAAGAACAGACGACACCTTCCGTCGTCAGTCTCAATCAATTCACCATCAAGGACATTCTATTATGGAAACGCTTTCGATTGATATGATTTTAACTTTTCCTCTAGATCCTATGCACATGGTGTACCTCGGTGTTACCAAAAAACTAGCTAATTTATGGATAGATTTAGCACGCCGAAGACTGCGCGACTTTAACTCATGTGCAATTAGGGACATAAATAATTTAATAACGGGTTGTGTGGCAAGTACTCCTTCTGACTTTCCCCGTAAATGCCGTACACTAGACTTTGTATCGGCATGGAAAGCTTCTGAATGTAGGTTGTTTCTTCTGTATTTAGGTCCGGTGATTCTTGAAAAAACATTGCCACAACCTTTTTATCTTAATTTCCGGCGTTTAGCGTTATCCATGTATCTGCTTGCACATCCGAAATTACATAAAAATGTTGTAGAAACCGCCAAATTAGATTTACTAAACTTCCTAAATGAATACGCATGGTGTTATGGGTGTGAAAACTTAGTTTACAATGTGCATTCGTTACAGCACCTCCCTGACGACGTTCGTGCACATGGACCTTTAGATAGTTTTTCAGCCTTTCCATTCGAGTCTTATATGAGACAAATTAAGAATTCCGTGCGTGGTGGGTTTGCAGTAGCTAAGGCAAGCAGCGCAGCGTTATGCTGAGAGAATGTCCTTCAGGGATAGGCTTCAAATTAGTGGTTTAACAAATACTACCACGATAGGCGCTAATGATGTCTCCATTAAACAAGTAATTATGTTTAACAACAGCAAAATAAGTTCATATAAACCGGATAATGTAGTAGTAGTTAACGGCCAGCCCGGTTTAGTTACTGACATAAAGGAGGATGGACTGCTAAAATTTAGGACTTTCACTGACCCACGCAATTACTTTGAAGATCCTTTCCCATCTAGTGATATTGGAATCTTTATGTGCTCCGTAGTTAGCCATGAATACACATGGGTATCGGTTCAGGACATTGATTGTAAATGTATAGCCATCAATTGTACCAATTACATGGTTGTAATCCCATTGCTGCATACTTTATTGTAAATGCATTTCGTTTCATTAGTGTTTAATTAATGATGATAAACCATTTACTTACGTCTTATATTCTTTTCAGCCCACTAACAAGAAATACGTTATTGTTGACGCCCTAAAAAATAACTTATGATAGCATCAAAGGACTGGATAGTTGGCAATGACCTTTGCGCTTTTCCGAATGAGATGGTCGATATACACCTTCAGAAGTGCGACCAACCTGATGACAATTGGTCACTTATGAAGTGTAAAGTTATTCATGAATTAGGTAAGCTACAATCATGGAAACTATAATTCACTATAGAATCTCTGCAGTCTGCAAAAGATCTGTTAGCTTCCCTGCAAATACTGCAATCTCACCTTGAAAACACTTCAACGGATGAAAACACTCTGCCACATAACACTGAGAAGCCCAAGAGGTTTGTACAATAATCTTACTAACATTTCCTAGAATTGTAATGAAACGTAAAGAAGATTTTCTTTACAATTCAGTAGACATGGATGTGGCTGAGATGCAGGCTGGGAATATCCGCATACAATATCCCAAATTTCGTGTTTTCGACAAAGTGATATCTCTAATCGCCAAGTACGTTTAATTACTATTTAGATATTCACTATTTAGTTCAACACAATTAGAGACATCACCATCCACATCGGAATGTAAGCATGTTGGTGGCGCTGTATTGGACCAGTAAGTAAACTGCATCATCTAGTGACCTTTTTCACCTGTGATAGGTTGTATACTGTGGTGCTGAAGATTTCGTCAGCTATCAATGACTTGACTAAAACGATCAACAACATGTCGTCCGCCATTACGAACTTGAATGTTAATGTTAACCAATTGCTTTCAAAGTCTAATGAGCGCGAAAGACCGCATCAATTCCATTGCGGACTGTCAAGTCAGCATTTCCCTTTGTCATCTGAAGAGGAACTACAGATGCTAGATACTGGTTTGTCGCAGAAAGAAACCAGGGACAGATTTGTAAGTCATTGACATGAATTTAATAATTTGTTACTATTACAGATGGCAATGGTCACTAGGTTATCAGGTGACGATCCAAAAACGTCCATGCGTTTTATTCTGTCGCATCTGCTGACACCGGAGGTTGCCAGTAAATTCACGTTACTTGGCACCTCTTCTAAACGAGCACTACATAAATGCACGTTTTACAGCTGCATACGAAGTAACCTATATCTATTACTTAAACTTCAGGTGCCTTAACTCATCGCTTTTTGTCATCCTGTGTAAATGAGAAAGACCTTGGTAAGCTATACGACATAGCGACACAAGGTTACTTTCACGATCTTCGAGACAAGATGATAAAACGAAATAGAAGAAGAGAAAAACAGGTAGGTACTAATTTAAAGTGATAACCTCCCTACGGCTCTATAGTTACAGTCAACAATACTGACGAACATAACCGTAAGTTCAGCTTCAAGTATTTGGTTGTGCAAAAGCATGTCATTGAGATATGGTTGTGACTTTTTTTGTTTTTTTTTTAATTCAGAATTCACAGGACGACTACCCCAATTCTGATTAGTCCATGCAATTGCTTTGATGTTGTACCTCGATTTCAATAAACACTATTCTTTCAAACAGCTTACTCTTTTACCTACATGGGAAACTGTTGAAGTGTTGAGAATGTGTGTTTGAGTTTCAGTGAACTATTGATTAAATGCACATTTCTTATGAATACATTATAACCTGTTCGTTCTTTTTCAGATAATTTCAAATAACAATGTATTAGCAATAGCATTGGATATGCATAACAATCGATGCTTCAGCTTGTGCTCTAATGTTGTACAATAATACGCTTTTCTTTTTCAATAAAATTTTTTGAAATATTTACTGCTTTTCCACTGCATTGCAGATATATTTTGGTCTGTTGTTGAAAATGAAGGCGAACATAGGAGACCTTTGGGGTTCTGTCGATGGATAGAAAATAGTAGGTAATCTGTGTATTTAGGCGAAAATTAGACAATTAAGCGCATAAGTATGCAATTCGACGGATATTTAGGCGAAAATGCGACGATTCAGCGGATATTTAGGCGAAAATGCGACGATTCAGCGGATATTTAGGCGAAAAGGCGACGATTCAGCGGATATTTAGGCGAAAAGGCGACGATTCAGCGGATATTTAGGCGAAAATGCGACAATTCAGCGAATATTTAGGCGAAAATGCGACAATTCAGCGGATATTTAGGTGATAAGTCGGTAATTTGTCGACAAAAAGGCGAAAAAGGGGAAAATCCGCATTATTTCCCCCGGACAGGCGAAAAAGGCGACATTCTGGCGCGTTTTCCCCTATATTTCCCCTTTCGCTATCATAGCATTTACCCCTTTATTTCCCCTTTTGTGTTGCAGTTTAAACTCTTCACGTTCTTTGTAATGCTTTGAGATTAATATACATTTATCCTAGTTTGCACTTTCGTTTTTCCTCCATCATTTGAGGCCTGTCTTCCTGTTGCAATTCGTTACATACTGCATTTAATTCTTATGCTTTATCTGGAGTTTCTTCATCGGTAGTTTACCGTCAGAGCTAATAATCGGTTAGCGTTCTGGCTGCTAATTAGCATGCATTGGGCTCTTCTATTGTGGATCTACGTTTCAACAGCTATTCGTTGTTGTTAGCACTGCCACTCCTCTTCTTCATGTCATCAAGAAAATCTTGTGGTTGAATCACTTGTCAAATAATTGATAATAAAAAATGCAGGGATTAAAGCAGGTTTGAAATTCATTTCGTCAGCATTTAATATATTGAGAAATGTGAGTTGTATTTGTTCGAATTTGTACATATCGTTCAAGGTCACGAGACATTTATAAAAGTCAACACAAATAATCGCACACTAGTTTCCGGAATATCCTAATGTCATCCAACCAAGGGAATAAGATAGATCGGTACGAAATCTTCCGCATTCGTCAAGGCATGAGGCCCAGAAGTAATGACGAGGCATATTTTGATTGCAGTGGCAGTCCGATGATCGTGAGTACTAACTTTTTTGAAAAAATGATTTACAAAGTACGAATAGTAAACAGTAACTCGCTTTGATTTTCAATCTTTGTATATCAACTGAAATAAGCTGGAGCGTTTTTTTGGATAACTGGTCTTCTGGAAATATCAATAATAACAAACTGACTTATTTTCAGTTATACGTTTCCTTTTGAAGCGACATGTAGTGTTTCAGAATCCTGAAGTGCCGGATGTGACTTACTGAATAAAACCGTTACAATAGGTTTGTAATACATGAAACGTCAAGAATACATTCTCACCCTTAGATTTAGACCTAATCCTTACCTTGAAGAGGGTGAGCAGAAAGTGTTAAACCGTATAAATAAAGAGTTTTCGAATGTTTTGGAGTGTAAAAGTGCTTCATAAGATCTTTTGATCATAGGTTATTCTTAATTTGTACCAGTTGAAATGAATATCATGTGTGCTCACTGTGTTACCACTGTGTGTCTGACTGAACGTGAGGAAAAATATAATAATGATCATGACTCTTCATCTCAACCATCTTGTCCCTGTCCAAGAGATTATGGATGCAAGCGCCGCAACCGACACTCCACAATGTACTACTCATTTTCTGTGCGACAAAAATACTTAGTAAACCAGTTATTTCTCGTCGGTAAGTTATTCACAAAACATGTTGTGTCAAATCCGTATAGATAATTGAAGTAGTAAGTTGAAAAAATTGGGCTTACTGCATAAAACTTAGAATACATTGCAAAATATTGACGCAGTGTCTCTATCTTTGGTGTTGCTCACAATGCTATTTGATTTAGTATTGCGAGTATAGAACGAACAACATTCATTAAACATTGTGATGGCAATCACTGTATTATACAGTTTAATATTTAAAGATGACAGATAATCCTGAAACTTAGTACATGGTGATTGATTCTAGATGTGCAAAGCGCATAGTCTACGTAAAAAATCCATAGACGTTTCTTGCTTCTAACTTTTCTGAACCAACTTCATTTTGATGGTTTCTCGTCGTGGACCGTGTGCAAAACATTGTACTAGATGTCTCTAGATTTGCTACGGGTTTTACCGTAAATATGTGGTTGAAACAATCAGTAAATTGCCTACTAGCTGAACTGTTCAGTTTTAGTCATGAAATATCCGTCATTCGTTCTTAGCAATTCATCGAAGGTTCTATATCATTGTAAACTATAATCATTGACCTAAATCTGCACATCGTTACAGAGTAACGTCTGATAATACGTTTATTGCCATTAATATTATCTTTTATATAGCAATTAAAGACACATAAACCAACTACTCACATCACAAAGATTCACTGGACTTGTTAAAATTTGCGAGAAAATGAAGGTAAATCATCGGAGCATAGTTGTACTATAATTGGTTTTAGAACAGATTAAATTGAACACTAACGGGCACAACTATGAATAAATCAGGTTCTCAGAAAAAATAGACTTCTGGAAATACTCTTGAGGTCGTTTTGTAAGGGTACATAATGAGGTTATAATTCTTATTCTTGTGGTTGCCTATCTGCTTTTGGATTGGGATCGAAAGAGGTTCACCAACTTTGCAAACTCATTTTGTATAAATGTGATAACGCGTAATGGTTTTTCTCATAGTGGGTTTTAAACATAACTAGTAGTATTCTTCGTGGTAAAAGTTTAACATGATGTGCTGACAACGCTAGACAAACAGCACTTATTGCATTACAGAAGTTACTAGAAATTGGAGTATAGACACTAGTCTGTGTAACTGGACATCATGTTGACTGTGTGTGGTGATAGAGGGTTGGAGATAGTCAACAGAAAGCACTTGATCTGTTTTTAGTGCAAGTTGTAACTATTTAGCACGGCGTATATCTAACGATAAGAGGGCTGATGGTTTCTGTGGGATTCGAAACCAAGTCACTGATCTTCACGATCTCAGGAGATACCACAGACTAACCATCTGTAATACCGATACCTCTCCTTTGATTATTCATTCAGAAATAATTAGTGTCATATTTATCTGGTCTTCAGTGATGGTAAAGCTTCGGCGGTCAATTTGTTGGTTTACGAAGGATTTTATGTGCCTGCGTTAGCTTGAAAAAATCATAATTTTCGACGCTTCGTTGTTCTTGGTTTGATTTATAAATTACCTCGTGCTTAGGTTCATAAGTATAATTATATATAAGTTTGTCATAAAAAAGGTTGTACCTTGAGGAAATATTATATTGGGCGAAATGTATCTTTTTAACACTATAACTAAACAGATGACATGTGCTTTATATGAATTCAGTATAATCTACTAGTGTTTAAAAATCAAAATGGCTTAACAAAATAAGAGCCTAATTACACTGTGAAAGAAGTGTCCATGAAAACTATGCTAATCTTAATCAATGACTAAGAAATCTTAAATTGTGGTTATTATTTTATTAAGTTGATATAATTATGTTTCCGTTTCATAGGACGGATTTGATCACAAGATACGGGTTTACAATAAAAAAGGAGCAACAGGAAATCAAAGGTTTGCAATCATTAGTTTGCTCTTTTTATACAATTCAAAAGCTGACTGATTTGAATAGCTGGATTTTTATTTAAAATTTTGCAACGATTTCTGAACCGTCATGGATATATGCATTTTGTTTGTAGTTTACTATTAAACGTGTAACAATGGTTCGTCAAACCCCATAAGTATCAAAGCCGATATTTATTAGATAAAAACTGTGAAAATGCTTCGTAGTTGTGTGATACGTACTGTTGAGATACAGGTTTAGTAATATAGCTTACCGGTTCGTATTTTGATTTTACTGTATGCTCTTGATAACGTTTAGTGAAAAATATAATATAGGGTAAGATTTGAAAACTAGACATTTTAAAAAAGAAAATCCAAAAGCATTAGATGTAATACAATTTCTGCTTGCGCTGGTTTAAAAACAAAAAGTGGTTAGATTGCACGTGGTTATCGTAGTCATGAGTTGACAAAAGAATTCATTATGTTAAACGAGTAAGAGCTGTTTATTAGGAGTGAAGGAATAATCTCTATCTAACTCCATATCCATTGTCATTTGTTCTGTCAGGATAAACCCACAAGAAAAGCCATTCCTCCCCAACCTCCTACTGTTTGAAAAATCAATGGTATTTTGTCAGCAGTGCTGTTTTTATCGTAAAGTATTTGAATGACGATAGATTAAGTTTCTGTCTAAAAAAGGAAGTTCATCCTTTATTCATAAAAGGTGATTCTTTTTCTTCTGAAAATCGGTGTAATATAGGTTACAAATAGCCCTTATGAAAACGTCCAGGCTAAATTAAGAATTATAAAACTCAAAAACTAAATTATCTGGAAGATACTTTCCTTAAAAAAAACTGTCAGACTGTAAGCTAATATACGGTTAGTGACTATTTAATTTATGCCAGCAATCTACGTGAGCGTACTAAGGAAATATGCGTGCTAAGTTATTTTTATTTGTAGGAACCATCAGAAAGATAACTCATGATGTTTTTCCACGGGAATGAAACATTTTGATAGTTTGAAATAAGTTGCAGCAATTCCGAGCTACCGTGAAAGTGTATAAATATGCTGTCAGCAGTTTCACGGAGGAAATTCCGCTATCGCAGAAAATAACCTCAAAGTTGAAAGTGTAATGTCTGTTACAATGTGTGCACACACTAAATTTGTTGTTCAATCTATACCCAATCAGCATTCACTTTCCTAAAGGTTTGGCTTTAACAAAACTGGATCATAACTTTCTTTGATTATTTAGTATATGATTGACAAAGGCACATTTTTTGCCTTTGATTAAAAGTTGTATAGATGCACCTCGAATAGATTTCGGGTAGTCACTAAAAAGCGCTCCACTTCATTGTTTAGCTGAAATGACATATTATGAAATGTTTTGGCATCGTGAGTGACTCCAAAACAGTTTATGAGTTTTTCTCAAAGTTTACATTATATATATATATATATATGTATATATACATATACTGTATAACTTCACCACACTTTCACAAATATCGACTAAATAAGCCTGTCTTTAATTGTAATAGGAATTTTAACAATCATCACTGCATAATAATGTAGCAGTTGCTTTTAATGCTGGAATACGTTGTATTTTCCTTTCTTGTAATGTCATCTCTGTTTTGTATATATTTATGCCTTACATGATCATTATATATTCTCCATTCTGGTAAATAAATGCAGAGGAGTCAATTCTGAGCAAACATATGGAAGCAAAAATACATCAGACTGTAGGTAAGGAGTTTGTTTACCACAGATAATGGACTCAATTTGCCTTACTATTATAAAGTTATCAGCAAGATTTTGGTGATAACTTAGGTCCATTGGTTACTTATGGGATCGATGATGAACCCAAGCCAGGGTGAGTTAATGTGTTTTATATAATTGAAAAAGTCATTGTTCAACTAGATATTTTTATTGATCTTTATTATGGCCCTTCTACTCATGACTTGTGTGTCATCTGTCTCTCTGGATGTTTTACAATTACTTTTTTGTCAAGACCAGTTTTGTAAAGAACGATGGTCAGCTGATGTAGGGAACTGTTTATATGTGGTCCATTGATTAGCACACTCATCTAAAATTGCTTTTAAATAGAAATAATGGCACAAAATACCAGTTATTTGTCGTTAATATGATGAAGTAAAATGATATTGTAACTTGAATACGTATAAACTACACACTAGATAATCTTTAGGAGTTAGGCAGTAGTTCCAACTCTATCAATTGTTTTAAATATTGGCAAAGTCATGCCACAGTTTTACCAAACTATTTGACGATAATCTATATCGTGAACGTACATTAGTTGAAAGACTGATGAAAGTAGAGAGCTATGGATGTCTGTTTACTACCTGCTCAAAACTCTTCAAAAATGCTTGCTGACAACCATATTTGAGATTGAATCCAAAGTTCACATGCCCTCGGTGGCTTTATTATATAACTGGTCTACTGGCTTCAAATCAATCTACAGTACCCAAGGATTGGAGAATATTAAACTTAAATCTTTACCGCATCTCCAGCTAGAGATAATTCATTGTCTGTTTCTGGTAATATACTGAAAAATGGGTATTCTAATTAAGTAAATACTTAGCATTTACATATGACACAACAGATCAAGTATTTATGATGTATGACAATTAGTAAAGCTCTACGTAAAAGTTCAGAACTCAGTGTTAAGTTCTTGTTGTCTTCTACAATGAAACAATATCACTAAGTGCTTTCCGATTGTGTCTTATGGAACGTAGACAGCCACAAATATATGAATGACTGAAGTGAAGCAAAAATATTGCAGTAGAGTTAAATGTAAACACTACTGGAATCAGCCATTGGTAATGCCTAGGCCTCAGTATTCAGAGTATTCTGATCTCGTAACCACTTGTTTACAAATTGTTGTTAACATATCTTTAGTCCAGTAAATTCAATCCAGAATGAACTTTTCATAATGTGTGTATTCCCTCTTCTTTTGCTCTTCACTCTCACTGTTCATTAAAACAGTATTATTCATTTTGGTTGCATTTCCATGACAATTTGCCTTCTTTCAAGAAACGCCCGCTGCCAACTTATTCAAACTAGTCGAGTGATAGTCGATCAGGGTCTGAGTGATTGATAGACTTCTTATGAAAATCAGTCAAATTTCAGACACGCCCAGTTAACAGTTAAGAGCATCTTATATAACTTGTTTCATTGATAACGTTTTGAAGAAAATACCATAAATCACATAAAATCAATTCATACCACAAATCCTTGTACTTATTGACTGATCTTTTTCATATTTGTCTAATGTCATCACTTATTAAGCTAATTAAAAAGCTTATTTTGTGGAGGGAAATAATATTTTATAACCCGTGAAGTAGATATTAAACATTACCTGAATACAGAAATAAGTGATGAATAAGGATTTCAATGTAGTCTTTTTGATAACTCAAATACATCTTAATATCATTATGTTAAATAGTACTATTTATGATTGTCTTTGTCTAATGGTTTGTTATTATACTGCGTCTTATTCAGTTAAACTGTATGAAAATCATATATATCTAACATGTAATTCAAATCAACTTGACAAACTAAGTAATCAGTCTTAGCGATTGCCAGATACAACTATACATGTTTGGCTTGCTAGATTAACCGAAGCATACTTTGTTTTCTTGGCATTAGTGATAAACTGAATCATTATTTTTTCTTGCTTACATACTTAAGCCTGTTATTCCTCGAGGACTTAGATCAAAATTTATAATTTCAAGGTCAATAAATTATCGAAGATGATAGAATTGCCCTTAAAGGACTTCAAAATTTTGAACAGTTCATAGAACGAAAATATGACATGAAAAACACTTCAAACTAGCATTTCTATTCATAAACTTATTCCGTTTTCCTAATTTACAGAATATAATCGGAAATAGTTGAACATAAAATCGAGATAGGCAATTGCATTACAGTTCATTTTACGTTTGAGACAAAAACCATATCTAATATTTACGTTGAATAAAATTTTGTATTTAGGCATATTAATCAAAGTACTGAAGTGTACTACTTACTTATTTACTTCTGTTACATATCGTGGAGAAGCATAGATCGCCCATCAGCATACCCCATCGAGCTCTGCCCTGTACAGTCCTTTCCAGATGCTTCCAGTTCTCAACACAGTGAACGTTTTGGCTTTCTCTTTACCGTTTCCATATCAGGATTGTAAGTTAGAGCTTGCCTCGTGATGCGGTTTGATGATTTCCACAATGTATGTCCTATCCACTTCCAGCGTCTTTTCCTAATTACCTCTTCGAATGGAAGTTGGTTTGTTCTCTTACACAGTAGGCCGTTTCTGATGATATCTGACGAATGGATGTTGAGTATCTCTCGTAGGCAATTGTTCATAAATACTTGTGCATTTTTGATGATGGCTGTTGTGGTTCTCCAAGTTTCAGTTCTGTACGGTAAAATTATCGTGACGTTCGTATTGAAAATTGTGACTTTGATATTGGCTGGCAGTTGTTTTGAGTTCCATATGTTCAACAACTGTATAAATGCTGTCTTTTCTATGCCAATCCTTGCCTTTCCGGTAGCATAGGATCCTTCCTGTTCGTCGATGATGCTGTCCAGTTACGTGAAAATTTACACTTCCTTCAGAGTTCCTCCATCAAGTGTGATTGTGTTGGTGGTCACCGTGTTGTAATTTCTGCCTTGTATGTGTTGAGGCCTGTTGATGCACAGGCTGCTGCTTCACTAGTTGTCTTCATCTGCATTTGTTAGTGTGTATGGGATACAAGAGCTATCTCATCTGCAAAGTTCAAATCGTCTAGTTGCATCCATGCTGTCCGTTGTATTTAGTGCTTCCAGAACAAAAAGAGAAAGGGAGAGTGAGCAGCCTTGTTTGACTACGGTCCTCACTTGGAATGAGTCTATCAGCTGTCCACCATGCATGACTTTGCAGTGTAGTCCATCGTATGAATTCCGATTGATGTTGATGATCTTCTCAGTACAACATAGTGTTGAAGAGATTTTCATTACGTTCTCCTATCCACTCTGTCAAACACTTTCTCATAGTCAATGAAGTTGATGTATAGTGACGAATTCTATTTAGTTGATTATTCAACGATGATCCGTAGTGTCGTGATTTGGTCTGTGCACGACCAATCCTTACAGAATCCTGTCTGTTGATCTTCAAGATGGACATCTACTAAATCCTCCATCCGGTTCAGCAATCTTCTGTTGTAATCACTTCCTAGTACCAATAGTAGTGTGATGCATATGTAGTTCTCACATTTGCTCAGACCTCCTTCATTTGGTATTTTGATATCTATGGTATTCATCTTCTCAGTCTGTTATCACTTACATTTCTCTCCACCAAATCTTCCTGAATAGAATATGGAGCATATATGCAGGTACTACTATGTCTGACTTCAGTGGTTTAGCTGGTAAGTTGTCAGGTCGTGCTACATTTTCACACTCTTCACTTGTTTAATGCCCATCCTGATTTAATGGATCATTGATGGAGTACGATGTATAAGGATGCCTGTAGGTGCTGAATGGATTTCTAATGTATTGAATGGAGCTGGTTTATTCAACAGTTGGTCAAATTGTTCTATCCAACTGTTCCTATCTTTTTGAATCTCAGTCATTGCCTTGCCTTATTTGTACTTGAACGGTCTCTCTGGCTTACTATATTTCATTACCAATTTCTTCGTTGTGTCATATAGTTGTTTCATATTTCCTTCTCTAGCTGAATTTTCCGTTGTTGTTGCTATGTCCACCACGTATTTCCACTTGTTGACTCCAATGTCCCTCTTCACTCGCTTGATTGCTTCAATGTAATCAGATTGTGCCTTGACTGTCTCTGCTCTCGTTCCACTGTTGTTCATTACCGTCTTCTTGTTCTTCCTTTCTTAAATCTCGCAAATGGTCTCGACAGAGATGTACTCCTTATGATGATGCTTGTTTACTTTGAATAACATATTTAGCAAGATTTTTTATTCGTGATGCTGTTGCTGACTTCAGCCCACCTCCTCTTCCCGGTCTTGAAACCATCGGTGGCCTCAGAAAAGGTATAGAAGGAGTTAAATGATTATTCAGCATTTGAAAATGATTTGAACATAGTTTGTAATTACATTGAAGTAAACAAATTTTTAATTCATTTGTCATAAGCTTCAACAGCACATTTCAAACGTATAGGTTCTGAGATTAAATAGGTATCTGATAATAAATTTAAATAATATTAACTATTCGAATTTTTTAATTTTTTGTATTTTATCTTAATGTAATGCTTTATTTCAATTTTTCTCTTTCTTAGTGATAATAAACGTAAATGAAATTTTAAATGAAAGAATTTGATCACCCATTCTCATCACTGTTGTCAGTTATTATTTTGTTTTAGTAATTTGGGTGAGTAATACTTATTTGTTGTTATATATATATTAAACATAATAATCTTTATATTGTTTCACTTCAAGTTTTATTACTCACGGATTAAAGCTGTAGTGGTAATGTTGACTAAGTTAATGCAAAACTAATTAACAGTTATGAATAAGTTATATTGTCACATTGATTGTTTATCTATTAAAAGATTTCATCGTTCTGTAATATTATTCGCGAACTTTCGAATTGTTATATCCTGTTTACTGGTACACATCTAGAGCATTTGTTCTACTGAATACATGAAAATTTAATATTTTTAACACAGAATGTTCTCCATTTAATATATCTGATAATAGTATAATGATTAACAATAATCATATGAAAAAGCTTAAAACTTGAGAAATCTATAAGAGTTTTACTCTAATTGAATAAATACACGATGACGGTCATAAGAATCCATTAAACGCAATGATTAATAAAATGTTTTATAAGAAGAAAACCAACTTCAAATTTCAATAGTTGAATGAAAGTATGAAACACTTTATTATTATTATTATGGAACGACTTGTATATGTTACTGACAAAACAATAAAAAAAGTAATCAAGAAATCTTTTATATATTTATATCATTGAGTTTTAATATAATGGGAATTTTTCAGCGATTAAAATCTTTTATAGCAATTAGTCCTTTTTATAAATTTCGATAAAACAATGAGAAGACGAAGTTTATCTGAAAAATGTGATGTATTTGAACATGTGCCTAGATGGCTTCAAAATCAATGTATATCAAATGATACGATCAATGTAGGAGGTAGAAAACCAGGTTCATCGATAGTGAAACATATAATTGAGAGGGGGCACAAAATTGACATTAATATAGATTTTAGAACGTTGTATAGAAATTGTCAAGGACAAATCCTCAAGTTTATTGAAGCCTTGGCTATTCGTAAATTTAAACCCCCTTTATGTGTACAAAAACAATTTGTCGTAATCTTGAATTTACCTTGGTAATCCTTAAGTCATTCTATGGCGTAGGATAACGCGACAATTTCTCATTCTTTCTCTCTTCTTTGTTACTTTTTTTTTACTTGGACTTTCATTTCATTGACCGTTATTAATTTTCATATAAAATACCCTGACAAGTATATGTGTGACCAAATGTATAACACAAATACATCACATTTTTCAGATCAACTCCATCTTCTCATTGTTCTATCGAAAATCTTTTATATTCATGTTTTTATTTTTTTAAAAATTTTTTCTTTTAATTAATATTATGAATAAATCATTTTTAAAAGTACATTTTATTCAAATTTTATATATTTAGATCTGTGAATTCATTCATAACTACAAAAACTGAAAAACTTCATGTTTTTTTTCCGAATTCATATTTACTACTTATTTTATAAAACTTACAAATATGAATGTTTTTTTTTCTTCTCTTTAATTTTTATTTTTTGTAATCATTATCTAATAAATGATCTATACAACATTGATTTTATATCATTATTATAATATAAACCACATGGTATCTCTTAGTTGGCAAGAGTTGTTTTAAAATTTATATTATATCATATGAATAACCATATATATATATATATATATATATATATATATATATATATATATATATATATATATATATATATATATATATTGAGTAGGAAAAAATAATAATAAAACGTAGAATATGTATAGGTTTGCTAAAAGCAGATGATTTTTCACTAAATTAAACCCTTACTGAAATTGTTTTATTTTATTCAAAACAATGTAAAAGTAGTTGATGAGAATAATGAATATGTTTGATTATTAAGTTGGTTCTTCAAAGTTTCTGTATTCTAAACATGGTAATTAGTCAAATAGTGTTAAATTATCTCATGTAATATGATTTGTAACATGAATAATTGCAAATCAAAACGTACATTGGTTGACAATCGTTGATTCATATACTTCAATGAATGAATATTTAAAATAGTATTTAGCAATCTAGAGTTTAGGAAGTTTTTCCTAATCTACTGAAATGTTTAGAAACGTTATTAACATTGTATAATAATCACTTATTTGCTTACGCCTGTTATCCCCAATAGAGCATAGGCCGCCGACCAGCATTCTCCAACCCACTTTGTTCTGGGCCTTCCTTTCTAGTTCTATCCAATTGTTGTTCATTCTTCTCATGTCTGTCTCCATTTCTCGGCGTAATGTGTTCTTTAGTCTTCCACTTCACTTATGACCTTGAATATTCCAAGTGAGGGCTTCCCTTGTGACGCAGTCCGGTGCCTTCCTTAAGGAAGGCACTTCCAGTTCTTCTTCCTGATTTTTTTCTCCGCTGGGATGTGATTTGTTCTCTCCCACAGAAAAAATATTTCAACATCGTGTAATATTTCCAACATAAAAAAGAGAACTAAACTGTATCTGTATACAAGAACTTCCGTTTAAATTTGATCGAATAGTTTTATGGTGTTTGGGTACTGAGTTGATGTGAGACACTAAAGAGGAAGAATGTATTTTTAAAATCTTAGTAACTGAATTCGAAGTAAATCCAACGCTCTGTCTAACAATCTGGTCCAACCTTCTTCAAGGAATTTTAATCAAACATAAAATTTGTGGAATATAAATAAGTACATCGTTCTCTGGTTAATTGTATACTAAATTTGTCATCCAATCATCGTTAACAACGTTTAAAGTAGGTGTTTGCTTTAGTGTGTAAGAGACATGGTGTGAAACGAAAAGTGTGTTAGGATAACAGATTGTGTGTATTCGTAAGTGGTGTGAGAAGAATGATAAATCCATGATGAAGCGAAAAGAATAATAAAATATGTAAAATCTACAATGAAATTAGTTCATCATATTCAGGTTAAGCACAATATGGAAAAAACGAACCACGAAACATTTAGAAAGAAGAAAATGTCATAAGTAACTTGCAAAAATGAGGAAAAAACGGTTACTGAAATAAATAAAAAGATCTAAAGCATAAAGGACTGTATAAGTCAGTCTGAGAGCTAAAAAAAGAGATCTGTACAGTGGATACTTTAAGTCAGGAGCTTGAATTTATCAACAACTCACTGACCGAGATCGGCTACCCCAGTGCTTCCATTAAGAAGTACATATATGACATAATAAAGAAGTCGGAGATTTCGACTGTTCGTAAGAAACCTTTATACATGAAACTGCAATTCAACGGGGATGTGGCTTGTGGCACTCTGAAAAATAGGTTAACGAAAGTAATCACCAGGACATTCTACGTAGCCAATCTTGCGTTGAATTTCTCTTGTCGACCAGCGATGTCTACCCAAACGACGGATAAGTTACCTGAGTTGGCCTCTTCCATGTGCATCTAAAAATTCAGCTGCTCCTGTGGAGATAGCTATATAGGGCGTACTACCAGGCAACTTAACCAACGAATGAGTGAACATCTACCAGCTTGGTTTATAAAGGGCCAGATAAAAACAATTCGCAGTTCTATCTTGGCACGTCTTATTGATAGCGGTCATGCTGTAGATAAATCGAAATCATTTTGAGTGGTCTATCGTATACCTCCATCGTTTCCCAAAGGAATTCGTTCCCGCCTCCTACATATAACTGAAGCCATAGGAATTCGTACATATAACCCCAATTTATGTGTGTTTGCAATTTTCCTCCTCTCTCCGTTTGTATTCTTCATCATCTAATTATTTACACATTTCTTATTACGTCATGATTTTAATGTTTTATGATGACTATTCCAAGTCTATTTACCCACAATTGACCTTCGATTTCCAACGTCTAACTATTGATAAGATTTTTGTTATCGTATTTTATTATTCTTACTACTATCAGTACACCTGTCTTCCTACTATCAACTTGTATTTTTACTTATCATGTGTGGTGACTTATTCTATTTCATTGTGATCATTGACCCAAATTGCCTTGATTGGTTTAACATTTTCGTATAAACATTCATGTATATTAGAGTAAAGCTTGATGACGATCTAAATGAAAACAAGTGTTCGCTTATATGTGTTGTTCTCATTTTCACAATGGGAATCTTTAACAGTCTGAGATTGACAAGTAGTCGAATAACTGGCTAGACTAATCAGGAAATTCTCCTATCTGCTTGAGTTTACACCGGTTGTCCTCCTCTTTTACGAACTCATCTTCATAACACCTTATCTTAAAACTAGTTCGAAGGTTATGCATTCAGTAATTATAAAATAAATAAGATTACCATAATCCTTGTTCAGAAAAACATGTCTGTCTATAATTGTAATTGCTTGACAGCTTCGCCAGAAGGATTATCGCTTTTTATCAATACAATTTTTAGACGTTATGTATTTAAAGACAACCAACAGTTAGTAGATAGTCTATAATAATATTAGCTAAAATGTAACTTCCCTTTTTGGCATATGCTTCCATGGATTTGTAAATAGAACTGAGAACCGAATGAACATTATGTAGCATGCAAAATCATAAGCTAATAAAAATGCTGGCGTCATGAACAGAGAGTTAGGTAACACGAGTGTAGCCGTGTAATCTCATGTTTTACTTGCACCAAATTTTTATATAGCGTATCTTTTGGTGTACTTGTTGTCCATATTAGAATATTTAGGTTGTTGGTAGGATATTTTGGAGCCATCTCCTTCCTGAAACAAACACTGATAATTTCCCAATATTTTTATGTTACAGTATATTACATCTAATCAGTTGTTATTACGCGATAATTTAACTGCGTTCTCACCTGACGTGTTTCAGCACATTTAATCACCAATCAAATCAATGTTTTGCAGGTGGTATATACAGCACAACTTATACACAATGTTGCACTTGTGAAAAAATCCTTTCATTTTAAATATAAATAGAAGTAGATGGTCGATCCTTTACATGTATGGTGCTAATGCAAGATATGAATAGAATTTTATTTTATAGAATATCATGGCAAAATATGAGAACCATAAATTGAACACTTCATTTGTAGATTTCCATCACTTGTCTTTTACATTCTATATGATTCACGATTCTTCTATTCCCTTCCACTTCTGATTTATGTTTCACACTAGGTATGTTGACAGACATAAGTAGCATACACCACAGTACTACAAATTATGTGAGGAATCGTATATTCTATTACAGAATGTTAATCGTGATGAATTTTATTAAGCAATACAACTGCCATAACATCATTTAAACTTCCATATTTGTACTTAAATATTCCCCTACAGTTAATACAGTCCTTTTTAACATCTTTTTCATTCTTATTATTTATTTTGTATATTGGAGTCATATTTCGTCCCGCTTTTGTGTTTTTGTTAACATTTTTTTATCGTGTCTGTTCACTTTCTTTTGTACAATGATTTACTGCTTGATTGTTACTTCATTTTTATTGCTGTTAACTTATGAAACCACTCTGCAAGAAACTTATTAGTATTTTCATTAGAAACATAAGTTGAAATAATATAATATTTGACATCAATCATTTCACTTTCATCGTAAATTGATTGGGTATAATTAGAATTATCAAGTATCTCTACTTTAGTCCTAGATACCTTTCTTTGTAATCTGGATGATTTCACTCTACCTATGTGCTAGTCTGTGCAACCAAACATTGTAAGTTTTAGTATCGTGAGATTTTTAGGTATACATCCATACTAAAAAACATTAGCATATTGTTGATAGTAGCTATATATTTTGATACTAACAATTCTAAATGTATTGTTGTTGGTTAAATCAATAGTGAATCAGAATCAACTTGTCAGCATGTTAATTATTTAACAATAATTTCTTATGAGTTCATAAAATGACGCCAATGCATTTTATTGTTGGAAAAAATACATGCCGTACACTGAAAACCATAGATATTTCATTAGATATAAGTCAATAATCTTTTGTATTATGACTAGTGAGGTGGTACCTTGCTGGATGTGAGGCATTAACTCACAGAAGACAATTAGAGGTGGTCGCGCAACATTTTGAATTGACTGAAGTTAAGCATTGACATTAGTGAATGCTGGACCAGTGACTTACAGGTTAACTCGGTAGTGCGCGGAAACGAAAGTGGTACGTCTGATTGCTGGCGTGCATGCTCACTGATAAGGGATCTAGTAGGAGGACTTAGTGGCCAGACAGTTCTTCCAGGTTATCATTGTTGGTCTAACATTGGTCGGTTCATGATTTCTTCGAAATTCAACAATCATTACATCGTACAATTTTGTTTATTAATATGCTTCCTCAGAAGTCGGTAAAATTTGTCATATACTCTACAGTTACTCATAAGTAGTGTAAAACAAATTAAAAACATGTTGGTAGATAGTATACATCTCGATCGAAGTCACTGGAAAACAATAGTTACTGCATTTCTGTCAGAGACAGAATGCCAACTTATGCACAACACTGTTGGGTTTCAACCTCTGGGAAATATTTATGTTGAAAAATTTTCACCATCCTAAATACTGAAAAATACTTAATTCGCAGAATGCAGTATCAAAAGTCTTGTACACATTTTGAACATAGTTTGCTAGTGACCTATAAAGGTTGAAGCAAATTGTGGTGAGGGTATGGATCATCGCAAGTGAAACAACCGAGAACAATTCCCGTAACAAAATATGAATGCGTGATGTGTATTGGTCATATTGATAAGTAATAGTTTGTATAGATGTGAAGTCAGAAATACGTTTATTAATTCTCGTATTAATTGTAACTTTTAACAAACATTCAGTAGCTCAGTGCTTGTTTATCATTCATCCATAATTTTCTGAAGGCATTTCAGTGACTCACGTATTAGTTATACGGATTATTCAGGATAATACATTTCGATTTCACTCATGTCTTGATGAAAATCTATTGTTTATTTCACATATCATCATCACTAAAATTGTTCATAAATGTGGATATAAGCATTACCAGTTTCGGGGATACTGTTTAAAATAACAGAAGTAGTGATAAAACCAATTCAAGAAGAATTATTCCTAAACTTTCCTATGTCATTCACGTTTATTATTTGGAGCCACTTTAGAAAATGAAATAGTAAAGGAAGCATAATATATTTCAGGTAATATGTATTACTTATCAGTAATCTTTCTTTACAAGATTCCATGAAAGAAGTACATGAATTAACAAATCTTTAATTTAAATGGACTGAAGTCATTTATGGAGTGCGCTATAAATCTGTTCAGTATTTATAATTATAACGCTGCAGTTATCTCATTAATTTGTCTAGTTTAACTAAATCCAGTGATTAGAGGAAGGATTGTCTTATCTTTATTAGCTAGAACAGAAATGTCAAAAGAGACATTACTGAGTGATTATTTTATGAAGCTCATGTTTCAAGTTTAACTGCACCCACACTATTATACACTAAGCCACACACATAAAACAACGTCAATATAAATTTAACAGGGATATTATTTATTCAGTATTCAAGACGTTATGAGTGTTTTTTCTCACTGTAAGTCTAAAGCAATCTCAACACTGCCAACAATCTCATACATTTTCTTTATAAAACTTATATTTTTATTAAAATAAATACGAAACTTGTATATACATATCATATTCACTTTCCCTCCAGAATGACATTCAATTTCTGGGACTCAAAACAAAAAGTCAGTAGATTGTGTCACCTGGATATTTTGAGCCCTTTAATTTTCTGTAACTAATGAATCGCTATTTCATCTGTTATGTTAACAGACAAAATAAGTTAATGTGAATCTGAATTCTTGTAAGCCTAAAAGAAGAGTAAGAACATTTCCAAATGCAAATAGATATGTCTATAAAATCAGAGAATAACTTATAGATTGAATGGTTTTCTGTGAATAAAAACAGAATGAATCGTACTGAATCTATCTATCTGTTGGGATATTCAGGAAAATATCCCCAAAATTATCCTGTTAAACCTAATGCTATCCTTGGACATGAAATGGTATCATCTTATTGGTCAATATTTATTTAACGTGTTATTTTCCTGTTGGCCATTATTGTACAATGTTATCTTCTATTTTATGGTACGTTGTGGACTGATTGACTGGTATATAAACAAAGTATGTTTGAAATATAATGATTCATAAATCCGAGGCTGAAACTTGCGTTCTGGACTCAATTGACTGGGCTAGACAAAGAAGCGAGACCAATCAGAACCCTAGGTCGTTCTACGTGTTTGTGCGTCTTTGGTCCGGTCAATAGTTCGCTACCCCTCAATCATCAGCATTTATTTTTCACGTTATAACACTATCAAAATTGGTAAAATAGTAAATGTACAAAACACTGGGCAAAGATAATATGACAATTAATGTAGTTTGAATTTGCGGTGATGTAACTTTGAACGTATTGTAAAACGAGAAACCCGAGTTATTACTATGATTGTTATTGTTATCAGTAGATATTGAATGATCATTTAATCTTTTACAGATACTTTTAATAAAAAGCTCTTGTTCACCAATTTCGAAATGAAAAGTACAGTATTCACTTAAAGATTAATATTATCTGTATTAATCAGTGTAAGGTTTTTATTATAAGACCTGAATGCTGACCAATGGTTTTCGTGACTTTTATCAATATATAGGTAAAACTTCTATACGTTGAATCAGTGAGTAGTTGAAGACTAGTTTGGTGTAATACTTTATTTTAACCATTCTCAAATGCTAGAAGGTATGATCACAAACACACCAAAAAGGAAATATCCTTAAAATATACTACTGAATGGATAGAAACTCAATAAAAAACAAAATGTTAAAATAAGATTTATCCAAATTTCAATCAGATCGATTCTTTAAAAATGCATATCTTTAAACTAGAAATAAATCTTACTTACTTACTTACTTACTTACGCCTGGTACTCCTCGTGAAGGAGCATAGGCCGCTCACCAGCATTCTCCATCCAACCCTGTCCTGGGCAATCCTTTCTAGCTCCGTCCAGTTGTAATTCATCCTTTTCATATCTGCTTCTATTATCCGACGCAATGTGTTCTTTGGCCTTCCTCTTTTTCGCTTCCCTGAGAAATAAATCTTACTTAAACTTAATCTTTTAAACTACCAAAGAAAAATGAGATAGATTTCTTTAAACTATGTGAACATGAAGACATCAAGTTATTATTGAAATTAACTTAGATCACAAACTGTTAATAGTGGTTCAGTTACATATTAACATAAACATTTTTCGAACAACTTTATGACATATAGGAAATTGTGAGCCGTCTATTTCGTACCAAACTTTTCTTCATCTGTCTAATATATTATCAATTGAACATATATGTATTGTGACTTACTCATTGTGACTTACATATAGTTGAATTCAAAATTTAACTGTTTTAATTCAATGTCTAATCAAAATGAAATACAATTTTAGATGACTCCAAATTTAATGTTTGATAGGTTACATATTGACTGAAAAAAAAACAACTTTTGCAAATAAGATTGATCAAGGATTTTTTCTGTTATTTTATTGATGTCACTTCCAAATACCATAGAGATAATTGAAAAATAAGATCTACATGTGAATCATGTTAAAGTGAAATGGTAATCTTAAGAAATTACTCTTATTTGTGGTGAAATTAAGAATTTATAATTTTTATTAAAGTTACGTATTTCAATAACTATGATGATACTTAATAGTTTATCAGTTATTTGATAGAAGGATTTAGGTGTTTCGATGACTAATTCAATGATCATTTCTTCAACATCTTTTGCAAGAACACCAACATATTTCTCACACTCTCGCTTCTTAACAAGAAATGAAGTAACGAGTTTATCAATAAAACTGAATAGATACTTCATTTTTCACTGAGCAATACACGCAAAAATTCATATCCAACTGATTTTCAATCGTTCAAAGAATAATTCTAAAAAAACATTCATTCTGCTGGAATTTACTTCTCTGAGCTGGATCTTCAAGAGGATGAAAGTGTTAGAAAATTATCCACCAAAGCTACAAATCTTTACCATCTCAGAAATATTCCATTCAACTGTTGGCAAGCAAACCAAGAATTCATACATTTTTATTAAATGATAATTAAAAGCAGAATTTCTTACATTTGGATCAGCAAGCTTAGAATTTATTGAACTTTATATATATATGCTTCGAACGTATGTTGCCAGTTTATCCTTTTACCACTTAGAAAACATTTTTTATGAATGATTCGGATGAATTAACTGTTGTGTGGTGTCAGTTATTATGTTAAACCCATATGCCTTATTCTAGGTTTCGGACAGACTATTGAGTCACATCTGACCTTGTTATTTATTCGCTTATCAATCTTGACTGTTTTTATATGGGCGCGTAGATGTGTGTACATTTCTTACCTCATTACTCATCACATGTCTGTAACTTACTTTTGTGTAAATATAAATATTGATTAACGCTTGGTTAAAGGAGAGTTGGCTTACCCGCCATCTCCACTGCGCGTCGTTTTGCTTTGTTCTATCCCATTCGCTTTATATACAAAATATATATATTCAAAAGTCCATTCTCGTTATTTGACTTATCTAAATCCGTTATTGACTAACGCGATTAAAGTCGATGATTATACACGAGGATAGGCGATAAAAAACATTTATACGATCTAATTGGAGTCAGATCCACGGACCACTAAAGTGGAGAGCCCTTTCGACAACATCGTTCGATCTAAAACGACTACAAAATAACGGGCCCCACAGTTGTGCTAGATGTTTGTTAAAATGTGATATTTCTAATTATAATTTAGAAAACATTTCGATGTGTCTGACAAATGGTAAGAGAATCATCACAGTTGTAGTAGTAGATTGAAAACGTTTATGTTTTACCATTATTCGTATCACGTTATATATAGTATTCAATCACTGATGAATACAGGTTTTACGATAGCCTCTATAACGGTTAAAATGTTCATACTATTGACTGAAGAAACGTTCACTGATTCATTATTAAATAAGAGCATTACTTTTAGATCAAGCTCATCTAAAAACTTATATTCAAAGATTTCATTGAATATATATTCATTTTCTATGGGTAATAACTTTATTTTGAATTTATCTGAGATTGTGATTTTGTTACCAATCTTAACAGCTATTTTTATTGTTTATTCATAGATATTCATTTAGAAGAACTATAATTGAGTAATTTGAGCGTTTGTAATAGTGACAAAATGTTTATCACAGGAGAAATTTGTTAGCCGTATCTACTACTCTAACACTTTGAGCATTTTTTAAATTAATGGCATAATTTGCGATGTATTAACTTTCATGCATTGGTTTTTTTTAATAATGATTATGCAATACTTAAAAGTTTGCTTTCAGTTGTTCTTTTTATTGTACTTCTAAGTGATTTTTATTGTTAATTTCTCTATGAGATAAAGTAATGCGAATGTCATTATTTTCATATGAATGTGTAATCAGTATACGTTGTTATACAGGTGTGAATAGAAATACTCATAGAGATTATGAAGCAAAATTGTTTTTTGAATGCAAAAACAAGTTGTCAGCTGTAAGGTTTATAATTTAAAACTTTCTATACTATGAATAGTTTATATTGTTACTAGAGGTTTACACTTATATTTATTCTACATTTTTACTTGATAAGAACAGGGAGATGATATTGTAGTGTATGGCAGATGTAAATAGTATATAACATCAACCAGAAGTGGAATGTCTAGTAACAGAAGACTGAGAAGCTCAAATTGAAGAGAAAAGGAATGTAAAAAGAGAGTGATTGTAATAAAAACGGAACTGAAAAAAATCATGAAGCGTGTAAAGGACAACTGAAGAAACATGTACAAATAATGTATTTAATGTATATTTTCATATTTTATGAAGGTACTCTGCAATGATGCGCTAAATAATAATTTGGTTATCCTCACTAAGTCTTCGTTCACTACAATATGTTTACATTATTCCTTAGAAAAGATCTTTCGATTGTCACAGTTATTTTTTGTGCAAATCCAATAAAAGTACTAATGTAATGCCTCGTAGCCTAGCTATACACTGCTTAATGACTCAGCATAAAACTGTATACTTAGCATATAGTAATTTGACTAATTCCGAAATAATGGACTGTTCTTATGGGCTCCAAGTGCTGTTCCGAGAAGAGAGAAAAATTAGGACTACACAATTTTAACATTGTGATAAGATAAACAGATATGGTTTCATTAAAATGACGTCATACGAGAGCATAGAGATTTCAAGAACTCACTTATTTTCTTGTCATTTGACCTCATTCGGCAGTTCATGGTTGTTCTGTGAGTAGGCGTTAGCAATTTTTAAAGACCCCCATAGTTTTTTCCGAATTAAGATTGTATATAAAGTCGGGATGAAAGTACGCTCCGCTTGATAATTTCAATGATCCCCTATTGGATATGTCGCCATTTTTTATTTGAATAACTTTTCAAACACTATAATTCAGTGTGTTCTCGAGATGCATATAGACGGTTCGCATTCATATCAAACATTTACTTTACTGTACCGTTCAAGGTTTGTTCAATAACTCTCGGGTATTCTGATTGCTCTATTTACAGAAATACATTTGAGAATGCCTTCATTTTGTTTAATCGGTGAAATCACTATTTTTAGGAACATCGTAAGTAAACAAAATATATTCTATCATATATGAGCGGTCAAGAAATTTTACTAGATTAAGTATCCTTACAAATTTAAATGTTCTTAAATCCAGTTAGCATAAACTAATTGAAGAGATGATGTTTTTTATTCCTTCAATTAAGCATGAACTAGATTGTAGAAATAAAGATAATCAAATCTAATTATCCTATTCGTGTTGAATTACTGATACTTCTTTAATTATTCTTTAAAATTTTTGATTTTCGAAATCGTACTTGTAGTCATGATTGGCATCAAGTTATAGTTTCAAGGTTACATTGTATGTATACACTTATTAGAAGTTCCATAAAATTTAGGATGTATTTATGTTTGTATTATTCAAAAAACTTATTGTGCGATTATTCAGTCACTCAGAATTAAGGTAACAATTGTTTTTTACATGTCTTAGAATGATACATAGAGTTTAGTTGAAATCTAATTAAAATACATTGTATTAAAAGTGCATACTTAAAGAAACATACATTATAGAAGTGGAGCCGGATACAAGTGTTTTCACTTATTGTTTGGTATACAATCTCACTGACAAAAGTATTTGCTCTTTGTTACGGTTGAGAGTACAGTAGAGGGTACCATTCCAATGTAAAATATTTATTGAATGAATCTCTATACAGTCTTCTGATTGAGAGACAATGTCACATGTCACTTTAATGGTCTTAGTTTCTTCAACTATTTCATGTTCCATGATTATCCTTGTAATCATTATTAAAATACGGTCATGGTTGTAACAAATAAATTTGAATAACACGATAAGTTATTAAAAAGTGTGTTTAATTGTATCACTAAACACTACAGATCTGCAGTCCCATTTGTGCAGCTTTTTGAATGAAAAAAGTATTTGAGGATTCTCACAAAACCTACTGAAGTATTTTTTCAGCACACGATCATATACTGAAACTCAGTACATCATTCTTTTGTCAATAAGTTACAGACAAAAATATATTATTTCATACATATAGTTCCCTTTATCATTTTGAAAAGAGCAAGAACAAAGATTCTAGCAGAATAACATGAATTCATTTTATTTCGTAGGTTCTCGTCAGCTGCTTACAACCTATAGTATTTAAAAAGATAATAATTACATAATGGGTTTAAATTGCTTACATGAGAGGGTTTATATTGAAGAAATATTCGTAAAGTATGACATGGGTATAAATGAAATTAATAGGCTGAATATTGTAAATATATACCTAATGTGAAAGAATATTCTAGAGCATTAATTGTGACAACAGTTCAAAAGTGGGTTAGAAACAATTGATTACATAATGAATAAACATTGATGGGAATATAGTGAGTAGAGTTCAGTCGAAAGATTATTAATTTTTTTAAAGATAGTTGAAAAATAAAATCAATGACGTAATAAATATAAAAGATAAAGATTAAAAAAATTTAAGCTGCAGCGGAAGAATATTTGTCACCAAGGCAGGGAAAGATTAACAATCATCTCCTTTTGAACACATAAATCAGGTTTTTGGCGCCTGATAGCAACTGCTTCAGCAAACTTCAGAAGACTGGAGTTTGGCTGCTTACTAATAACCTTGAATGATTGTAGGGTGTCAACCTGATGGCCTGTGTCAAGGAGATGTTTAGTGATTGCACTACTTAGAGTCTTTCTTTCTCTTGTTCTGAGGTTTTTTGGAACATGTTCAAAAAATCTGAGATATGCCCTCCTTTCTGTTCGGCCAATGTAGCTGCTTTGGCAGGTACATGTAAATTTATAAATACAATTGGCGGTAACATGAAAAGGACGCTTATCAACCTTTGATTGAGTTGTTGAACATGTTGTTTTATACAGAATTTGAAGTTTGGCCGCCGGATAGGTTCTGGCTAGCGCAGTATTGAGTCTCCTGTTGATTGTGTTAGCAACATCATCACCTTTGAAGTTAAGACTTATAGTTATTGGTTTTTTATTGACAGTAATTACTTCAGTATTATTTTCTTTACGCTTTTTATATTTGTCAATAAACTTTTGTGGGTAATAGTTGTCTCGTAGGCATTTTTGTACGTTCATCAATTCTTCTTCCAGCTTATCAGTGGTACAAATCTTTTCTGCCCTATAAAATAGTGTTTTAACTAGTGCCTTCTTGTAGCTGAGTGGACAAATACTATTGAAATTCAGGTGAAGGCCATTCCAAGTACTTTTTCGATAAACTGAACGTTGGACTGTCCCGTCTCTCCTACGGTTTATAGCAACATCAAGAAAGTGGAACATGTCATTCTGTTCGTGTTCCATAGTAAATTGAATGTTAGAATGTGCATTATTGGAGAGTTCTAGAAGGCGGATTGCATGCTGTTTATTGTTGCAGACAATGAACGTGTCATCAACATATCTGGAATATTCCGTCGTTTCGCTAATCGCCTGATTAAGCACCATGTTTTCAAGATACCTCATAAAAATATCTGCCAGAATTGGACCTAGTGGGCTTCCCATTGCTACGCCGTCGATTTGACGATATATGGTGTTATTAAACTGGAATTGGACGTCTGTTGTGCACATTAGTAGTAGTTTTTTGAATTCTGGGGCTCTGCTCTAGAATATTCTGTCACATTAGGTATATATTTACAATATTCAGCCTATTAATTTCATTTATACCCATGTCATACTTTACGAATATTTCTTCAATATAAACCCTCTCATGTAAGCAATTTAAACCCATTATGTAATTATTATCTTTTTAAATACTATAGGTTGTAAGCAGCTGACGAGAATCTACGAAATAAAATGAATTCATGTTATTCTGCTAGAATCTTTGTTCTTGCTCTTTTCAAAAATGTATTAGATCTAACTATTACTATTATTACTATTATTATTAGCTTTATTCAATATTATATTTTTGGTACAATATAGAATTCTCAGCGTAAAGTATTTCAACAAGTTTCCGTTTCTTTCTTCTTGGTCGGTCCTGGCGATAAATATCGAGTGATCGCCAGTTAGATGTTAGCAGTCCAGTAAATGAACACCTGAATAATGTGCATTCTTTTCGTTGTATATTGCCAGCAACCGCATTGTCTCTTATCGAGTTTTTTGTAACTTTGACAACGAAAGGTTGTACACTTTTCAGAAACGCAGCAGAATGGGTTATGCGATTAATAGACATAATGATATATTAAAACAAACAAAAATAGATAACTTGTTGAAATGTCTAGATGGCAGGAACAGGTAATCCAGGTGCTCAAGCAGGCCTCAAATATAAAAATCTCTAGTCCACTATGTCTTACCACTCAAAGATTATTGTGTACTCCCATGTTATCTAGTTTACAATGAAGAGAGTAAATTCGTTCTAAGTCGATACATAATAAGATTCAATTCTTTTATCTGTCAAATACTTGAAATAGTTAATGCCTAATTTAAACTCGCTTATCTTAGTTTGTTTTAAGAGTAAAAGACGGAAACGGAGGGTTTGAATGGATTCATTTGAGCAGTTTCAAGTTGGAACAAAACAACACTTTAAAGATCCTTGATTTCCATAAGTTCACAGGGTGATAATAGGTGGTGAGAATCTAATTTATGGACGAACCTTGAACGAATCTTAAATGACCTTGACAATTATTAGCCAATCAGAAGACAGTTAGTATAAAGTAAAAATATATTATAAGAAACCAATGAATTACAGTGGATATTATTCTGTTACATGATTTAAAAACTTGTTAAGGTTTGATAAAGGTTCAGATGTTCTGAAATCATAATGCATGCGATATAGGAACTCGTCCATGTGGCTCCATAATAGTCGTCCTCTAGAGCCGTGATACGGTCTTAAAAATTCCTTCAATCTCGACCACATGGCTTCAACGTTGTTAGTATGAGCGCCAGTAGTAGGGTAGACAAAATGACGTTTATGCACTACGACATGATGGACATAGACAAGTCTATGAAGGCATCGATGAGCTCTCTAATCATCCGTATATACCGTAGTGCCCGGCTGTACGTATTCCTGTATAATTGGTATTATTGTGCTTGCTTGCCGGTTTCTGACCCTCTGAAAATGCCCCTTTTGCGTCGATCGATCATTAATTCCAAGTACCTCTCAAGTATATTTACGGAAGTGCTACTTACCCAATCTTCCTTGATACTACGCCCCCCTGTTGTATTTTCGCTTTCTCACTACTGTTTCATCTATCTCCACAATACTTCCTACTCCTCCGAATGATTGGTGTAGACGTGTCATTTTAAGTGCACATATGTCACGACAATACTCATACCAATGAACTGCTGAAATTTCAGTAACATCTGCAAACACCGCAGCCAGTGTTACTGGTGTCTTTATTATCCAATTTGAAACTATTATCATGATTTGCCTCAGTTTCAGTCGCAATCGAACGAAGAAAGTCCCCGTTCGAGCACACTTTTTCCACCAACATAAAGAACAACGAAACATAATCTCATCACGATAGTCCACACTTTACTGCAGTCATTTGATAACTGCAGTCACAGTTACAGGAACTTCTTAGTAGTCTCATCTATTGTAGCCGCTCAATAATCACCTCTTCTCTAAAATCCGCTGTAAACCGACCGTATGTGAGCATCAGGTGTTGAACTTGTCTCCGTGACCTTGAAATTGCTCAAACGCTTCTGATTGGCTCGTCCATAAATTAGAGACTATAATTGATGAATGAGCCAATCATGTATAAGATAACAGGTCTTGGATTCAACCATTTGGCTAAATAGATTTATAGCATTATAGCTAATGTCAGTTCGTGATGAAAACCCTAAATCTAATTCATAACCTCAACCATCATGTGAAAATCATTATTAGAAATCCTCATACTAATTTATAACCCTCATTTGGTCCTAGTTATCAGGTAGACACTCTCAAGGTCAGTCTAGCGTTGCTCAAACGTCGTCCATAAATTATAGTCTCTTCGAAAATATCTTAAGCTTCATCTCCAAACTAATGTATAAACTGAATTGTAAAGAAAGCTTAATTCAAGTTCTTAAAGTGTCTTATTTCTAGTAATTTTATTCATTCATTCCTAATCTCTTAGGCTATTCATTATTTATTATTTCTGTTTATATATTATTACTCTTGAGTTCTTACTGATATCGAAAAGTTAACATAGAAAAGGGAATATAACTGCGAAATAAACACATTGAAACGATTGATTTTTATTATTTTCTTGTTTTTTAGCTTCTGTAATATTTATAATAATCATCTGTAGGATCGATCACTGTACTTTAAAATCTCATATTTAACTAGGTGGTCCATTTTCTGGTTTCATTTTCTATTTTAAAATTACTGTATCCAAAAAGAAAGCTTAATCATTATATTTTTTTGTTTTAACTTGATAGTGTGATTTCTTAATATGTATGTGATATGTTAACAAATTTCAACGATAATTTATTATTATTTTGCTGTTTGTGTATTGGAAGACATAAATATTGATCCTTTCCATTTGATTCTATATAACTAAATTTGTATAAAATTTTTGACAAAGGACTTATCAAACTTTATGATTTGTTTCATTCATTAGATGAAGTACAGTTCCGTTTATTTGCTTAATAGTCTAAGATTAACTTTTGTTATTAGTAATATTGTAATTTTCAATTTTTTAGGCAGAGAAATGGTTAGTATGTTTCGAGGCTGAACACTGATGATTAGTGATTGTGAGTCATAAACCTGTACTATTATTGTAGTGACAAAAATCCATTCATGTGTGTGCAGTCAAATATCCTTAGACACAGTAAAGCAGGTATACAGAATCGGAATACACTTTGATAAGAAAACATTAGATCAGTGCTAATATATTATGTTTAGTTTTAACATTCACGGGACAACCACCTTGTAAGACATGTAACAGTATCAGCTCTCTGGATTTTTGAAGATTCAAAACATTTTTACTGATGTAGTTGATATATTTATCATGGATACTAGATTTCAAGGATCACGTCATTGAATTATATAACATCTTCGATTTCAGCATTTTTAAGTAAAACACTACTGCTAGACATTCGAGAAAAAGAAATTTCTTCGTTACTCACACCTAAACTGTTTCCATCAGAATTGAAGGACTGGTTACTATCTTATACTGACTAAGTATCATTTCGCTATAAATACAAGCGTTCAACAACATTTTCATAGTGATTTATCCTTTAAAAATGCATCTAACGAACTCTTCACTTGTTAATCCACACTACATTGTTTCTACAATAACACCAAAACAAAGAACGCATTATTATAAGACTTCATACGTTACATGAAGAAAAACAACAAGTATTGAAGTTTGATATCAATTTGTATTGTTTCAAATTAACCCTTGTCGTTCAATTTCTTAATCGCTATAAAACTTATATATATAACAATCTGGTTCATAGCGAAAACAGAAGGTTGATTTAGGTTTTGTTGAAGTACTTATACGGCCAACTTTAATTGGATTAGTAACTCGTTCAAATTTCCATCCTCTACCATAATCTCTTTCTAATTCATTCAAAAATGGTGACATACTAACAAATGGATCGTCTCGATCCCATCTTCTTACAATATACAATATACATTTCCTTTCTAGATCACATTCCATATCAGAAAAATATATTGTAATGCATGGATATTCTGGTGGAAGTTGTCTTTCGAATTGTTTTATGCAATCAATTTCTTTTTGTACCCTACAAAATAAGACAATAAGCATAATAAAAATAACATGTAGCTATAAAAAATATAAAGGATAATGTCGAAGGATAAAAGGATGTATTATATGTAAACTGTCAATATGTAGTTTGAATACAAGTAATTTTACAGATTTAATGAGATATCAAAAAACTGATATCAGATATGATGTACGCTAAATGATCACTACGTAAAAATAATAGAAAACATCAATAGTTTAGGAAAAACAATGTGGTGATCCTTTTTCTTCTTTCTAATATCAAGTCAATTGGTTAAGTCATAAATAAATTCGTTCACAATGTAATCTATAATAAATATGACATACTACTTATTAGTATACTTGTCATATGTGAAAACCAATAAGCCTATCCTCGACTAGATATAGTTTTTGAAATATATTTTCAATGTATTACTTCATAAGAAGATATATGCATATTTGCGATATTTGAAATTAACGTCTGATGTGAACAGGGAAACAAGAAGCCCTGACAAACTACGGAAACTATTTTTCGGGACGTTATTCTATTTTATTTAAGGCTTGTAAAACACTAACATTTTTTTCCCTAATCTATTCTACAGAACATAAGCTTTCGTTCGATGTATGATTCATTGCGATACTCTTTTCTGTTACGAAGCTATTGTAATTTAAACATAATACTTTGCACCCTATTTTCTACTCTAAGCCCCAGCTTTGGACATAATTGTATTTTTCCTAATTATCGTACGTTTTGGTCGGGTTATCCACTTATTTATTCATGTACCTTTTTACACTAATCCGAACTGAAATCAGGATGTCGGGGATAGATCAAGTGGTGTTCCGGTTGCCTTGTCTTCTCTCATTTGCGTGCTTGTCAGCCAATCAGGTGATAGAATAGTTTCCTCTCTACCCCACTTTGAACTCACGCGTACTAGCCTCAAGGTTAGGTCGGTCAGCCTATTGCGCCGAGGTCCTAATCTGTATTAGATAAGTATCCTCAGCACCAAAAGTGGGTAGACAGACCAAAATGACATAACAACATCCTTTTTGAAAAATCTTTCAGCTTTATTGTAAATCCATTGAAATCTGTTACTATCAGATAGATTGATTAGTTTTGTTAAGTTACAAATTATCATACGTAAATATTATTCTTCTATAAAAAAAATTAAAATAATGTTTGTATAAGGTTATCTTTGATAAAATGATTTTAATTATCCTAAATTATCAAGTTGAAAGGTAGTACAAAAATTACTGAAGACTACTGTTCCATTCATGTAAATATGATGTTCAGAATATATATATTTAAAAAAAAGATAATTATATCTTTATATCGTATACTTTGCCATTTAATTTCTGATGTAAAATTGTTTGTTTTTTCATTGTATAATGAACAACTGAAATGACAATAGTGTTGTGGTGTATGCTACTTATATTGACATAAGTAGTATATGATATTAGTCGTAAAAAGAAGGTCTAGCAGCAGAGAGACAAGAGGAACGAACACTAAAAAATGGAAACAGGATGTAATTTGTTTGAAAATGCAAGAACAATGAAGTCTGAGTCATTATGAGACAATCGATGGACATTTTGCAAATTAAGCATTTACTTTATGATTGTTAGATTTTACTAACAAATCATGTAATTTAATGTTAAATACATTCGATTGTCCCCACCCGTGTTCTGTTCACTACAGTGTAATCGAAAAAAATTTATTGGAATAAGCTCTTATCTCATATAGTAAAAGTGTTAAAATCTATAAGTCATTGTCATTATTATAAAGTAATAATGAACTTTTTTATGTATTACTATATATTTCTATATTAGGTAAAAGGACCATTGTACATTTACTGAATCTTTGAGTCTTATAGGAATTTCAATGGCTAAGATCATGAGTAAGTTGAAGCTAGACCACAATGGAAAATCTGGAAGCAGTGGACGGCCGTTTCGCCCTATTGTGGGACTCATCAGCAGTGCGCATCAACGACCTCGCCTCCTGCGAGATTCGAACCCAAGACCTACTGGTCTCGCGGGCGAGCACTTAACCACTAGACCACTGGGCCGGCATCCAACGGTTTTAATGTCTAACTTTAACTAATCCACGAAACTGAGCGACACATCCACCATTGTCTTCAATGAGTTACTATCTCACAACAGAGTCGGTTGAGCTTCACTGATCACTGCTTCTCACAAGAACTCCAGAAAATATCACTTGAAGCCAGTCAGGAATGACAACTATAAAAATTAATAATATAAGTATAAATTCAATTAAATTTATGAAAATCACGGTTCGTTATAAATATTCATAAGTGAATTTTTTTAGAAAAATATAACAATGTAATACTCAGATACTAATAAATGATATCAAATAATTAAGTATACAAATAATTTATCTAACATAATGTAAAGATAAATAATGAAACAACTTACATTGTCTGACTATTCAAATTTATTGATGGTTTGTCATTCATTCTTGTAGCATATCCATTTGGCATATTTAAGTTTGGATTTAATAAATGCATAGATTTCTAAAACATAAAATTATCTAGATGCATCCTTACTTAATTAAACATAATTTTCACATGATTTTAGACTTACAAATTATACGTTTTGTATAGCATGAAATATGAATAACAATTTATAATAACAATGGGAATAGTATGAAATTTTACATATCAAACCTATTTATCATTGTTAGGATGTAAGTTGAGGCGGACAATACTAAATATACTGGATACAGGTAAAAAGATATATATATATATATAAAGTGAATAGGGCACACAGTGCGTGAATCATTAAACTGAATCACTAGAGAAGCCCTATCTTGAAATTCCAAAGGAAATGGTAAAATTGTCAGACTAAAGAACATCTTGAGTCAGGAACGCGAGGCAGACATTAAGGGAATGTAAAGAACTTGCGAACAACTAGAAAGGAGAGTGCATAGTTAGAGTTGGTTGAAGAGACCTGGTCGAGTCCTATGTTCCACGAGGGGAAACAGGTATAAGTAAGTGAGTAATGAAACATCAGTTTCTTAAAATTTTATGACGGTATTTATTCACGAATCTGAAGAGTTTTATTATTTTTTGATGTGTACAACTTTAAATATATCATTACTATAGTTTTCACTGGTGTTCATGAATATATGTTTACACGTTATTCAGTATATCCGCAGAAAAATAAAATATAAAAGAATTTACCTTTAAATGACCTGTCATAAAACTCGTCATTTCATCAGTAATGCGACCAAAACATGAGCTAATTACCCAGACGATAATATATAATATTGGAGTTGTGTGGTTAAAATCTACATTTCATAAACGTTGGCCGTCATCAGTAGAAAATATATAAAATACTGTGATAATTAACGTTGCCCTTACTGTTTCAACCTTCATCGTTCAAAGTTACAATTGCAGACATTACAAGTATGTTATTATTTGTCGATAGACCCAAAGCGATTCATCAGCCAGTCATAAACAACGCAGAATTTGACACTTATTTATATCTATTTGATTTGTCACACCGCATGTACACAACAATATGAAATTAATAAGATAAATTCTAAAGGAGTAGTATTATTAACGGTGTTAATGGTAGATGAGAAGAGCAGATATTGACAGTTTGATTCAGAAAACAAGAGGGAACTCAAGAAATTCTAAAGTATAAAATATCTTCGGAACTGAACTTCTATGAAAAAAACATTAAAAACGGATTTACCGCACTATGAAAGACCTCAGTTTACATCAGCGATTGTTTCCAATCATTAGTTACGATAATCATGCAGACCTCAACCACATAGTCTGTGCTAACCAACACAGTTCAAACCAATAATTAGTGGCTTCACGGATTAACAAGCATCTTTGCACAAATGTGTGACGATAGTTTCTGCATTTCGAAATTCAAGTGAATTTCGTCTAAATAATGGAAGATCGACTAACCTATTTACAAATGATAATAAAAAGTAGATTTCCAATGAGAATAGTTTTATCCACCTCTGCTTGTACTTTCTCTTTGTTAATATTAAGAGTCGTATTTTTATATTAACTTTCAGCAAATATGAACTCCATAGGCTGATACCTCGATATTTGAAGGAGCTGCAAATCGACAATTTTTAGATCTGACTGAAATCTGAATTCATCACACAAAAGTTAATCATTGGTTAGCTGATGGCATTATCAGCTCACTCATCCAAGGAGTTTATGTGCCAACGAAGAATTAAATATTATTGCAGTCCACAATGAACAAATAAATCACTCAACTTTCAACTGTTTATACTAATAATTAGATGAACAGATGTAAAAATGGACATTACAATAAACTTCCAATTCTGTAAGGTGAACTTACTTCCAGAAACGTGTTAACCAACACTTGCCTATAATGGCATTTTTCAAAATCCTCAACTTCCGGGGGTCTTTTAATCGCTCTTGGCATAGTAGGTTGACTTGTCTATTTGAATTGATTTATTTTTTTAAAAATGAAGAGAATTTGTCGATATTTATTGCCAAGAGTCTTTAATTGTTTACGTAAAGAATTTTTAAAGAGTTTCTAGTATACAAAAACAAAATTGATTAATCCTATATATATACTCGCAACATATTGTATGTGAAGGTGTTTCTGCTTTCACTAACACATGCACAAATGCTATAAAAGTAGAATCCGAAGCACAAATGCACACATGACCATATTTATGTTAGCTTATTATTGTATAATCTAGTTACAGAGTGTAATTGATGAGTGTTTTTTTTTAAATATAATTATGGTTTTCGATACCAATTATAAGCATAATAAATCTACGTCTTCTAGCCAAATAAGTTAAACGACATGACAGGCATGGTATTATGATCAATTATTTCAATTATTTACCAAGATTCATATCGACCAACACATGTATAATTGTTTTTATTGAAATAAAAATTCAACAACTATCGCCGTTGATACATCGTCGAGAACAGAATGTTTTAGTATATATTTAAGTAGTATGACCGTAAATTATAATCAAATCATTCATAATATATCTATCAATAGAGAGAATATGTAGACCTATATATATGCATATAAAATAATAGACATTTATGATTGTACTCATGAAACTATGTGATGATAAAAACACAAAGTGGATGATAACTGAGTTCTTTGTAAGGAACAATTATTTGGTTTGCTGGTCTGTGTGACTTTAATACTTTAATACATATGAAAAAAAATACATTAGATTTCTTATTCCTTTATTTCTGTATTATTTAAGAAACTGTAGGAAACGATTCAGAAGTATTCCTTTTCAGGATTACTTACAGACCAAAACAAGGCTATTTCGGCAACTGCTTTGATCACAAACACTAATCATTTGACTATAATTGTTGCAACTATTTCACATAGCTGTTATTGTTATAATGCATATCAAATTAGAAAAGAAACATTACATTTTCAACAAATAAGTTATTGGGTAATAAATAAGAACTTTCGTCTAAATTCGAAAGAATAGTTTCACAGTATTTGGGCACCGAGTTAATATGAGACATTAAAGAGGAAGAATGTATTTGTAAAATCTCAGCGAAAGAATTTGAAGTAAATCCAACGTTGAATGTAATCTTAGTTGAATGAAATTCCTTCTCACTTACGTATACACACAATCTATTATCTTAACACTTTTCGTTTCACATCACATATCTCTTACACACTAACGTAAATACACACTTTAAACATTGTTAACCTCGATTGGATACAGTAAACCAGAGAACCATGTACCTATTTATATTCGATAATTTTGTTGTTTGATTATATTTTCCTTGAGAAAGCTTGGACCAGATTGCTAGGCGAAACGTTGGTTTTACTTCAAATTCTTTCGCTGAGATTTTACAAATACATCTTCCTCTTTAATGTCTTATTGGGTAATAAATTTGTAAATCGTATCCTTAGAAACTGTTGTTTTAAAATGAATAAACTTTTGTAAGTTGTTTTATGAAATGATTCATCCTATATTATAATGTAGTTATATATCCATTAAAATACCATTATAAGACAAAAAAACTATTGAAGATTACGGGAATTTATAATCATCGTCACCGCTTGTTAGATGGATATCACTTTCATAGAAGGAAAGTGAAAATGTCGTGTAAATACATGCATACATAGGTCAGAAACTAATAGATATATCATATTATTGTATATCATTTAAGAAAACAGTAAAATTTACATGCATAAAAGCATTAGTGTTTTCTAATTCATTTAAAATTCTATAATATTAATAGCAGCTTAGTTTTTTTCCCACATTAAACGATGAAATAGACTGTATTGAACCCTAGTAGAATAATAAATCAAAACATTTTTACACAGGTTTGATAAAAATGTAACAAGTTTATTCTTTATCATTAGTATTGAATGACACTATCTATTGAGAAATACTTTAATTTCCATAGTGTAATAAGAAGACCAAGATTATTATTCTTATAACACTAACGAGATGTATCAAAGAGACCAATTCATTTAGATACTTTAATATCAGATCAGTTTATCGGTCATATTTCAGTAATGAAACCTACGTTTTTACAAGAAATTTAAACAAAATTGTAAAACACAGATTTATTATCAAAGCTAAAAATTAATGACTTTGTTCGCTTAGCAAATGAGATTTATTTTGAAAAAAGAGAAAAATAAAACTAGTATGTTTAGTTAGGTGAGTAAAATTAAAAGTGTACACATGTGTAACTCTGAGAAACTACTGGACTGTCTACTAGTCTATAATTGTGAAGGCCAAAAATAAAAACATTTCAATTATTCAAGTCAATTCAAATGTGAAATAATCTCAATCTTTAGATAAAGAAAGGAGAAAAGTGTTAATGATTAATTACCAGCTCGATCTGTTAGCATTTATACTCACTTCTGCGAAAGTTCATAAATTTAACATGGGATGAATACATCTCATGAAAATTGAGTTTTGTATTTTGGCATATTAATCAAATTATCGTAGTCTACTACTTACTTATTTACTCCTGTTACATCTCGTGGAGGAGCATAGACCACTCATCAGCATACCCATCGATTTCTGTAGTGCACAGTCTTTCCCAGTTGTTTCCAGTTGCTATTCATGACTGCTTCCAATCCCTGACTCAACATGTTTTTTAGTCTTCTTATTCTTTCCCTTCAGGACTCCAAGTTAACGATTGCCTCGTAATGCAATTTCATGATTTTCACAATTTATGTTTTATCTGTCTTCGCAATCTTTTCCTAATTTCCTATTCTATTGGAGGTTGGTTTGTTCTCTCTAACAGTAGACTGTTACTGACTGCGTTTGACCAACGGATCTGGAATATCTTGCATAAACAACTGTGTATAAATACTCGTACTTTTTGATTATGGTTGTTGTAGTCCTCAAAGCTTCAGCTCCGTACGGTAGAACTGTCATCACGTTCGTACTGAAGATTGGGACTTTGATATTGGCTAGCAGTTGTTTTGAGTTCCATATGTTCAACAACTGTATAAATGCTGTCTTTTCTATGCCAATCCTTGCCTTTCCGGTAGCATAGGATCCTTCCTGTTCGTCGATGATGCTGTCCAGGTACGTGAAAATTTACACTTCCTTCAGAGTTCCTCCATCAAGTGTGATTGTGTTGGTGGTCACCGTGTTGTAATTTCTGCCTTGTATGTGTTGAGGCCTGTTGATGCACAGGCTGCTGCTTCACTAGTTGTCTTCATCTGCATTTGTTAGTGTGTATGGGATACAAGAGCTATCTCATCTGCAAATTTCAAATCATCTAATTGCATCCATGCTGTCCGTTGTATTTAGTGCTTCCAATGAAATGTGGGGCCTTTATAAACCTCTCAGCAACCAGAACAAAAAGAGAAAGGGAGTGTGAGCAGCCTTGTTTGACGACGGTCCTCACTTGGAATGAGTCTGTCAGCTGTCCACCATGCATGACTTTGCAGTGTAGTCCATCGTATGAATTCCGATTGATGTTGATGATCTTCTCAGTACAACATAGTGTTGAAGAGATTTTCATTACGTTCTCCTATCCACTCTGTCAAACACTTTCTCATAGTCAATGAAGTTGATGTATAGTGACGAATTCTATTTAGTTGATTATTCAACGATGATCCGTAGTGTCGTGATTTGGTCTGTGCACGACCAATCCTTACAGAATCCTGTCTGTTGATCTTCAAGATGGACATCTACTAAATCCTCCATCCGGTTCAGCAATCTTCTGTTGTAATCACTTCCTAGTACCAATAGTAGTGTGATGCATATGTAGTTCTCACATTTGCTCAGACATCCTTCATTTGGTATCTTGATATCTATGGTACTCATCTTCTCAGTCTGTTATCACTTACATTTCCCTCCACCAAATCTTCCTGAAAAGAATATGGAGCATATATGCAGGTACTACTATGTCTGACTTCAGTGGTTTAGCTGGTATGTTGTCAGGTCGTGCTACATATTTACATTCTTCACTTGTTTAATGCCCATCCTGATTTAATGGATCATTGATGGAGTACGATGTATAAGGATGCCTGTAGGTGCTGAATGGATTTCTAATGTATTGAATGGAGCTGGTTTATTCAACAGTTGGTCAAATTGTTCTATCCAACTGTTCCTATCTTTTTGAATCTCAGTCATTGCTTTGCCTTATTTGTACTTGAACGGTCTCTCTGGCTTATTATATTTCATTACCAATTTTTTCGTTGTGTCATATAGTTGTTTCATATTTCCTTCTCTAGCTGAATTTTCCGTTGTTGTTGCTATGTCCACCAAGCATTTCCACTTGTTGACTCCAATGTCCCTCTTCACTCGCTTGATTGCTTCAATGTAATCAGATTGTGCCTTGACTGCCTCTGCTCTCGTTCCACTGTTGTTCATTACCGTCTTCTTGTTCTTCCTTTATCAAATCTCGCAAATGGTTTCGACAGAGATGACTTCCTATGATTATGCTTGTTGCGACCAAGAATCTCCTGACACGCTGACACTAGTGTTCCTTCAATCCATTTCCTATTCTTCCAAATGATCTTGTAAGGCTTGGAATCTGTTGTTGAGAGTTATCTTGAATTGGTTCAGTTTGTCAGTATGTCGAATGAAGGCTGTGTTGAATATTTGTGATGCTGTTTCTCCAGTTGTCCAGTGGTTCTCCAGTTTCACGTTCATCTTGTCAACCATCTGGTAGATGGTGATCTGAAGTTACATCAACTCCTCTCCTTATTCTCAAGTCTCTCACTGAACTTCTGACGTTTTACTGATGCAAATATGATCGATCCCATTTTGTGTAGTGTGGTCCAGTGAAACCCATGTAGCTTAATTCATGCATTTGTGGAGAAATATTGTGCCAACTATAAACATTTTGTTGAGTGCACATCGATTTGCGAATCTCTCGTTATTCTCGTTCGTTTCTCCTAGTCAGTTCATGTCGTCCCATTCTATATTCATACCGATTGTTGTCCATTCAAAC